GACCCATGCCATTTGAGTTGGAAATGGATGTGGAAAGGCTTTGTAAAATCACTTGTCCCACATTGGTTTGGGAAGTAGGATTTGCACCATTATATATACAAGAACCTTCTAGAAAGATGTTGAATTGTATAGCATAGAGACTCTCTTTCGTTTGCAGGGAAGGGGTGCAGATCAAATTACTATTACAAGCCTCATTTTTGTTTAGTTTTATCTCTATCTCTTTCAACTATTTTCTTCACAAAATTCTGCCAACACTTCTGTAAAAAAGAACGAAGTACTCACTTGTTGTTTTTGTCCGCCGAGCTTTTAGTTTGAGTGCTTAACTTTAAGTTATGATCTATTTTATCCTGGAAGACTGACAACGTTCCTAGCACCCTCGGAAGGTAGCTAATCGGTATTAAGGAAATTGTGCGTTAAAACGACTTGGATCTTTCCTTGTTCTTTCTGTCATTAGATTTATAATCTCATATTTGAAAATCCTCTATCATTATTTATTTATTTTATATAAATAATTTTGAATTCCTTTGGTTTCGTACCAAGTTTTGGTTGGAATTAAATTTCATTTTTCGTTTGTGTAACCCTATGGAACAGGTGTCTACGACGGTACCATGTGGTTTGGTCGAAAGACCTTGGAAATTCAAAGAGTTGAATTTCAAAATATGGCAACTTAAAATGTTGTTCAACCTAGTGATTCTCAGCATTTCATTGTTCTTGACCGAGATGATTCCTAGTGGAAAGGAACGTTAGTTTAACGCTCAAATTGTTAGCGAAGTGGAGGCTTGGAAAATTGTTTATTTCTTATGCTTAAACTACGTTTTGAATGGTTTGTGTGACTCGTTGTGTAGTGTATACTGTAAGTTAAAAATAGCTAAAGAGCTATGAGAATCTTTGGACCTGAAGTATAAAGTGAAGACGCTAAGACAAAGAAATTTGTCATAATCCATTTCATTGAATACACTATACGGGATTTCAGGATCATCCTGAATCAAGTTGACAAAGGAATGGTCATGAGTGAAGCCTTTAAAGTGGAACCTAATATTAACTTGTTGCCTCCAAACAAGAAGGACTTCAAGAATAACGAGAAGTAATTTCACAAATAATGCTTCTATTGTGGTAATATGGGCCACAAGTCAGTTGATTGTAAAACACCTAAGAAGAAGAAGAATAATTCTGAATCAAATGTGGTGCAGGTCAATCAGAATGAGTCAGAAATCATCATCACGACAATGGTGACCATGGTAAACTTAGTTGGTTCGAACCAAACGAAATGGTCCATTGATACCGGTGTGATCCATCATATGTGTTCCAACCGTGAGTTGTTTACTACCTTCGAGACGATTAACTATGAGAAGGTATGGATTGGGAATTCTGCTTAGTCTGTTGTGGAAGGCATGAGAAAAGTGGTTCTTAAGATGACCTTTGGGAATGAGCTAACTCTGAAGTTTGAACAACGTTTTGTACGTGTCGGAGCTACGGAAGAAGTTAGTTTCTGGTTCATTGTTGAACAAGAATGGCTTCCAGTTAGTGTTTGAGTCAGAAAAGGTTGTTTTGTCGAAATCATGAATGTATGTAGGCAAAGATTATGTATTAGATGGAATTTTAAGCTCGATGTAATAACAGTAATTAATAATAGTGTTATTAATTCTGCCAACTTGCTTGAGTCTTTGTGTTTGTGGCATGGTAGATTAGGTCATGTTAATTTTAATTCTATACATAGATTAATTAACTTGGATCATATTCCTGCATTTTAAATTAACGATAAACACAAATGGATTTGTGTTTAGGCAAAACAAACGAAAATTCATTTTAAATCGATTGAAAGGAAAACGGAACCACTCAAATTCATCAATAGTGATGTATATGATTTTAGATCAATACAATGCACGATGGTAATAAATATTTTATCATGTTTATCAACAATAGCACACGATACTACTATGTGTATTTGCTTAAGAGCAAAGACGAAGTCGTTGATAAATTCATTCTTTATAAGAATGAAGTGGATAACCAACTTAATCGAAGAATTAAGAAGGCTATAAGTGATCAAGGTGGGGAGTACGAATAACTTATTGGTGACTTCTGAGCTAGTGTTGGTATTGTACTCGAGAATACGACAACTTACGCACATCAATCGAATGGTGTTGCCGAACAGAAAAATCACACATTGAAATAAATGATGAATGCGATGTTGATAAATTCAGTCATACCTCAAAGTATGTGGGGTGAAGCGATTTTAACAAGCAATTACCTTTTAAATAAGATTCCCCGCAATAAGCATGATAAAACTCCTTATGAGCAGTGGAAAAGTAGGAAGTCTTCCTACCAATACTTGAAAGTGTGGGGGCGTCTCGCCAAACTTTTGGTGCCAACACCTAAGATGATAAAGATAGGTTCTAAGACGGTGGATTGTATCTTTATTGGCTATGCACATAATAGTAGTGCTTATCGGTTCTTAGTACACGAGTCTCATAATTCAGACGTATATAAGAACACGATATTTGAATCGAGGAATGCATTGTTCTTTGAAGATGTATTTCTGTGTAGGTTTAATGAGGGATCTAGTACGTCAAAACGAACATTCGACGATGCTATGGATAGTGAAAGTTGAGGGTATGAAAGAGGACTTGAGCTCGAAGTTAGACACAGCAAGCAAGCAAGGATCGGAAAATCCTTTGGTCCATCTTTGCTAATGTACATGTTAGAGTATGATTCTAATATTCACTACTACACAGGAGGCCTTTAACATCGGCTATTTAGGGCCTTTAACGTCGGCTAAAAAGTGACGTTGTTCTGGGCGATGTTGTATAGTAAACATACCACGCCGGTTAAATAAAAACCGACGTATATTTTTTTTATTTAATGGAATAAGGGTCAAATAGGCCACTCAACTGCACACCAAAGTGCAATTAGGTCATTGAACTCAAAAAGAATGCAATTAAGTCATTGAACAACACAAAAACATGCAATTTAGTCTAAAATGACTTGTTTACCTAGAGTAGCAAGTTACCAATTTCAAAATTAATTTTTTAAAATAACTTTTAATAAATAAATAATTAAAATATTAATAAATAAATAAATTTATTAAAAAAAAAAAAAAAAAAACAGAAACTGCCGGCCGGAGACGAATCATCTCCGGTCGGCTTTGTCTCCATGACCGGAGACGAACCTCCGTCTCCAGCAATGGAGACAAAGACCTTCGTCTCCGGCCATGGAGACGACGTCCTTCGTCTCCATGGCCAGGGAGACGAAGGGACCGTCCCTTCGTCTCCCTGGCCATGGAGACGAAGGTCTTTGTCTCCATGCGTCTCCGGCCACGGAGACGTAGCCGGCCGGAGACGATTCGTCTCCGGCCGGAAGTTTCTGTTTTTTTTTTTAAATAATAATTTAATTATTTATTTATTAAAAATTATTTTAAAAAATTAATTTTGAAATTGGTAACTTACTACTCTAGGTAAACAAGTCATTTTGGGCTAAATTGCATATTTTTGTGTTGTTCAATGGCTTAATTGCATTCTTTTTGAGTTCAATGGCCTAATTGCACTTTGGTGTGCAGTTGAGTGGCCTATTTGACCCTTATTCCATATTTAATTAATACAACTTACAACGTCGGTTATTACGAAATAATCGACATAGTATGTATTTAATTTTTTAAAAAAATTGACATAACATGTCGTTTTTTTTTGTTAAAAATCGACGTGTTATGTTATTAAAAAAAAATTAAAAAAATTGTGCCTACAACCAGGGAACTGTAGGGATGCCAAAATCATGTTGCTTCTTGCATCTTATGTGTTTGATGTGGAAGAAATAGAATACATGTATATCATGAAGCTCTTACATACTCATTATTTTGGATATCAAAAAACTGTATTGTAAAATAAATCTGATCAATAGATCAATAGAACTCAAATTCTAAAAATAGAAATCATCTCCACCTTTCAAGTAAAGAACATCAAAATCTAAACAATAGAACAAGCAAGGTAAACATTCAGCAATTACATTTTCATCTTAGTTTTCTCCTCTCCCCATTTTCTTTTTGTGTTGAAACTATAATCCACTGGAAATTCATACAATCAAAATCAAACTATCCACCTGCCTAGTGCCAGAATCACTGAGAGTGAACAAATAACAAGTTTCCCATTGGCTCAAGATTAAGATGGAAACTTTTTTTTTTTAATATACATTCTCAATCTGGATAGGGCAGTGATATCTAAGGAAAACAAAGCCCTTTTTTTTTTTTTACACATTTCCAGGCAAAATGCAACTTATTTTTGCCAAAATATTCACAATTCTAAACAACTATAAGCAAATATCTGAAGATGGCCTAGTAGCATCTTTTTTTTTCCCACATTGCAACTCATATTTATGAAAAATACATAAATGGGATGATGAATTCCATCATTTACCTTTGCAACTGCCTTTGGTGGATACTCTCCTCCCAGTCTTGCATCAACACATTGGCAAATCTTGTCTTCACTGAGTTTTGGAGTAGCCTAAAGAATGTCGCATTAAAATCTACTCCCTCACATATTTAGACAATGTGAATATGCTGGAAAATGATAAAGGGTAAATTGTACATCCTCTTTTCTTAATAGTTTCTTTTACAATTAAACTACCCAAAAAATAATACTCCGTAATAATAATAAAAAAATGAATGGCACAATTTCACTGTTGAATATCATTCTAGTAGATATTCAGCAAAACCATTCTAGAAAAGTATGCTTAAACTTTAAAAAAAAAAAAAAAAAAATCCCACAAGTTGGAAATGTAATAAACTAAATTGGACATGCATCATATGAACAACTTTAATGTTGGAAATTTCCTCTATAGCAATTCAATAATAGTGTTGCATGGAAGTCCATAAGGCAAAAAAAATAGCACAAGGAAAAGAATGACAAGAATAACTATGCTGAAAAACAATTCAGAAATGCTATGTCATACCATGAAGAATATCGTGAAGTGATCCATTTGATGCAAATTCATAAGAAAGTACAGACTGATTTCCATCAACACAATAACCAAGTAGTTCAACAAAATTTTCATGTTTTAACCTTGAAACCATAGACACTTGTAAACATCAAGTGCTTAGCAGTATTATCCGGTGAGGTAAAAAATTGGTTCAGATATTAAGTAACACCTGTGCCAAGAATTCATCTTCTGGTTGTATGCTTGCATCCAACTTCTTAATTGCAGCAGCCCTCCCATTTTTGAGGTCCCCATAATATACTTTTCCGTATGAACCCTCCTCTATTAAAGAAGTAGTCCCAAAATTATCTGAGATCTCCCTAAGGTCATCAATTGGTATTGCAGGGACTGCAATAGGCTGAACTTTCACAGCTTGAACACCACCGGTTGAGGCATCTTTGTTGTGTTGAGTTCCATTTGTACCTGCAAGGAAATATCAACCTTAATATCACTTCTAATTCAGCTGCCAATACCAGAAATAAATACATAATTAAATATATCAAAGACCATAAATAAATATAAAGGAAGAGCAGAAGAGACAACAAAACTTTGGTAATAAAAAGTAACTAGACATGTTCACCAAGGTACTGAAACTGAAATTGGAGCATATTTTGTCAATGAAATCATTTCCTAAGGCCAACTTGATGTGAGGGAGACCAACCAAAAAATACAAGTAGATTCCTTTATTTTCTTTCCATAGAAAGTGGTAACATTTTAATTCATGCCCTATATTACTGACAAAATAAATTGGGCAAATTTACCTGCTGAAGTTTTCACAGTATGCAAGCGTCCCCCATTAGCAGTATTATTGAAATCATCTTCCTCACAACAGTTAAAGCAGCTCATGGGTTGTTGTCCTAATATTCTCTGCAAAATTTTTTTTAAATTCTCATGTAGAATGTAGTTTCCATTAGTATTAAAATTACTCCATTTTAACAACGATTATTATTATGTTTGATCGGATCCAGAATAACACACCATATTTTCCCTCTAATGATCCTCATTCACTCTTCAACAAAAAAAATCCTGCCAATAAGCCACAAAAGCTACCATGATGACAATTTCAAAAGTACAACCAAAGAAGATAATCTCAGAAGAAACATCAGCCTATACTTTACTGATATGCTAATTTAAAAGTAAACAGTAAACATAAAAAATAATACAAAATCTGCTAATTTACCCAAGGAGAGATTTCACCGAGTATTGAAAATTTTCCTTTGTTCATTTCTCATCTTCAATGAAGCAGAGTACCTAATACACTAAATACTAAGAAAAAATCTAAAAACTATTATAATTCTTTAGACCTTTAGGTAGAAAGAGTGTACAGACATATAAAGTGGTGACCTTCAATGAACAATGATAATCACATTAAAGATGAGACCTAAATTGAGATAGAGAACAGTTCTCAATAAAGCTTTTATTTTCAAACAACTCAAAATATCTGCCACGAAGCAAGAATTCTAAGCTAATTGGGCCAACCAAACATCAACATTTAGGATAATTATTATCCCTGTTTGCACATGAAATGGAATTAAAGCATTTTCGTCTTCGTAGTGAACAAAAGGTTGAAAAATTGATACATCATCACACCATATGCGTAGCCAACCTAGAAATCCAATACATCATTTCTCAACATCTCAAATCAAATTTAAGAAAGTAACCTTGAATCCAACTATGCAAAAAAATATTAGAGGATTTAAGTGAGCCAAATCTTAAAGGCCAAAAAGAGAAATCTCTCATTGGGTAAATCTCAGCCTAGGCATCACCCTGCATGTAAAAGTTGAGTGAAATTCTACCAACACTGCACAATCAAAGAGCAAAAATTTCAAAAAAGGTGCTAGATAAATAGTTACCCAAGAACATGACATCCTCCATCATAGACTCTTTTGGAAATCAAACCCATCAAACCTATACTTCCACCACCATAGACCAAGTCTATCTTCCTACTTACCTATAGCCAACATTCACAAAGTCAAAACCATAATCTACAAGCACAGAGCATTAAAATAATGAAAGAATTGGGTGCGACAGTTTCTAATGCAACTGAATAATAAAAGAAACATATTATTTACTAAAATTCGAAATAAATTACTAATAATTCATAATATAATATCAATAAATCCTAAAATACAAATATATCAACATTGTTTACTAAAATTTGAAATATACTATCAATAAATCCAAAAATACAAATATATCAACCTAATAGTTCTAAATTTATAACCAATAACTTATAAAATTCAAAATATATACCTAATAATTCCTAAAATTCGAAATACATTAACAAATAATTCAAAATATATAATAATTCCAGAAATTGAATTACAATGACCATTTATAGCGGCCGGGTTCCAGAATACACCAACAATGTTGACAACAGGCACCAATAGTGTAATAAAACACACCACAATGAAACACACCAATAGTGTATTCCCGAACACTGTATGGTGTATTTATTCATATCTAATGGCGCGTTTTTGGTGATGCGTACCTAATTTGTGTATGATCACAATATAATGACCTGTAATGTATTGGTAGAATCTTGATTAATGTGATTCATTGGAACTATCTAATATAATGACCTGTAATTGACCATATGATCACACCTAACAACATGACTGCACTTCATCACCCCTATATATATATATATATATATATATATATATATATATATATATATATATATATATATATATATTTTGCTTTTACTAGGACTATGTGGTCCAATGGTACCCGGGTTGGACTTCCATTTGGAAGGTTGTGAGTTCAAGCCTCAGTGGAGGCATTATTAGCTCTTTGTGTTTCAATAGGTTGAGAAAGTATATGAACATATACTACTAGAAGTACCCTGCATAGAATGTATGTGGACAGTGGAATTACTGAACATGGATTCCAGATTTCCACGTTAATGACCCCACCGATAGGTGTCACAACAACGTTTTGTTGTCGCGATACATGCCAGGGCCGGATTTTAGGCTGTGCAAGCTGGGCTACCGCACAGGGCCCCCAATTTTAGAGGGGCCCCAAATTTTAGAGGTTCAATATTTAATTTTTACCTAGCTAGTTTAAAAATAAAAATTAAAAAGTTTTCAATTAAACTTTAAAGGTTTCATGAAGAGATGGTAAGAATGTGTATTTATTGTATTTTAACTTGGAGGTCAAAGGTTCGAAACTTGCATGTATTAGTTTTAAAAATTATGATTTTAGTAGGGCCACATTTATTTACTAGAACAGGGCCACCAAAACTTAAAATACGGCCCTGATACATGCATGTAATACACAACAGATAGATCTTAGGCAGTACATTGATTATTGTTGTTGTTTGACTACAACCTTTCCCCCTCCTAGGAGGACTAAGGATTGCATATATATGTGTTTCTTCCTATGATGTCGAAAACACACCATTATATTATTCGATAGTGTAGATTGAACAAACTTTATTTGTGTATAATTATATTATTATTCGGTGATGTATATTGAATAAATTTTGTTTGTGTATGTGTAATTATTCACAAATCATACAAAAAAAAAAAAAAAAAACTATGTGATATTATGATTCGAGATAATCATGTTACGCTATACCGACTCGATTACTCATTAATTATTGATAAAAGAGTTAAATAGGTCAATCTACTATTTATAAGTGCTCAATGAACCCCTTGGTCTAAAATAAAATCCAATTTAATTTGATACACAAACTTTCTAAAATTCTTGCATTAATTACCATTTCTTTCAGGTTATATCATGTTGCCAGTCCATATTAAGATGAGACGGAAATATAATAATTAAATAAAATGTTGTTAATATGAAATTTATTAAGGTTATAAATTCATTTAATTAAATAAAAGGTTATTGACATAAAATTTAATTTATTAATAAGGCTATAAATTAAAACTAAGCAAACCCTATTTTCGACTTCTTTCTTCATCTGATATGATCTCCGTCTTCTCAAACCCATATATGACTATAACTTAGTTGCATTCCCAATAGACCGACCATTTAAGTTTAAATACATATCTTAAACTTTGAACTTCTCTTGCTTATATAATGTCAAGGGAAGTTCTAAAAGTTTTGACAAAATATAATATCAATATATCATTATCATTTTATGTCTATAGAATTTGAAACACATCCATAATAGGCTAAAGGCACTTAGAATCCAAAATTGGAAATCGACTTAACCTAACGCCATGTCATAAAAACCTTATGGAACTTGAAAAAAATGATAAATGTAATAATTTTAAAAAGTTTGTGTATCAAATTGGATATTATTTTAGATCAATACATTAATTGAGCATTTGTGAGTAGAGTGTGAGCTTATATGACCCGTCTACCTTAATTATTGCAAATGTTTTTCACTTAACCTGCATGTTGCAATGCCATTCATGTGCAACACACTTGTACATTCATGAAGACTAGAGTTGATAAAAATGGAGGGGACAACTCATCTTTCAATAGTTCTAAGGATTAATTGTGGACACAAATGTTGGAGGGGTCTTAGACTCTTAATTCGCATTATTAAGTTTACAAATTAAGTTTATTTATCATAGGGATTATCATATATACATCACCTTTCAAAAATCATATATACATCAATTTCACAACATAAAGAATTTATTATTTGATAGGGCCACATATTAAATTCTTATTATTTTCGAAAGATGAAGGAATGCGTGTGGGAAGGAATGGCAATCAATGCATTTATTTCGAACTATTCGTGCTTTAAACTTTAATTTGGTGTTTACCAAGATGATTGAAAATGAAATATGATGGGGTTGGCAATGCGTTCGATGAGAATTGTAAATTATATTTTGGATTAATTTAACTTGATATTATATTGATAAAGTGATGAGCAGTGGAAAAAGAATTTATGACGGTGGGTAACGAAGTAACAGCAACAAAACATCATAGACAGAGAAACTGACAAAACCGTCAACTGTTGTAGATTGAACAGCCATAGAGAAGAATTACAATAGCACTGAGTCTAATAGAGTCTTAATACATTCTTGTCCCGCTTAACAAAATTAAGAGGAGATATTATATTTCTTACTTATTTTTACTCCTTTTTTTTTATTAGACAGTTTTTTACATTCTTTAGAACTACCCTAAGTCAAATTTAGAGTTAATTAACACTACATATATCATTCATTCGGCCTGATTTGGCATAACCTTACTCTCGACACATGTGCAGTAATTATACCATGGACCCAGGTTCATTTTACAAGGTGGATCTGAAAATACACAATTTACATATTGAATGTTTATAATTTAAATTATGAACATTTAGTATGTAAATTTGACAATACATGTGTGTGGGGATCGATACCACTATTTGTATACGTGAACTTCATTTGTAAAACTTGAACTATGAATATAAATTATTTATTTATTTATTTATTTATTTATTTTGATGAGAGAAACTCACAACTATTATTTGTGAGTGTGCATTATATTTTGTTCATGAGTTATTTTTAATTACATTACCTTTGTACTATATCATTAAAAATACCTCAAATTTAGTAATAAATTAATAATTCATTTATAAACTACATACACTCATCACATACAAAGTGCGACGACAGTAAACAATCATGGTAGAGACTTGAACATTAGAGATACAAATAAATTATATCAAGTCAAATTATTAGTGATTAGTGTTGTTGGGTTGTTGCAGTCAAGGTCAAATTTTGAACAGCATAACCTTAACAAGCAGACAGCAATAAACAGAAAACATATTTAAGTCTTTAGTGTTAACAACAACATTTTAATTTTTAAGCATATAATGTTTCCCATGCTTAGCCCTACTCTTAGCTTGTGTAATAATCCGTGAATTGTATGAGAGGTAAATCACATTAGAAGAACA